AACGCCACCATTGAAGGCGGTTATATCAATAGCCCAATCATCAGAGAAGGGAGCACCTTTTTCTTCTACAGTAAACTGAAAGTCAAGAAGACAGATTGGAACAAAGGTGATACCTACACCCTGACGATTGTCCACGAAGGCTTTCCCGGAAATGTTATGCGAAAAAGAATTGCAAAATCACAGGGTAAAAAATGAAGACCCTCCTCATCCAGAGTTGCACCCCTTTCCTCCTTCCCCAGAATTTTCTTTACCACTGTTAGATCAATCCCTCTGTGACTGCACATGCGTGTGTGCCCAATGGCCGAATAAAAGAGAACTTGTGTGCGTGAGAGCACCTGCCCATGTGTGGGTGTCTTTTAAAAGCATGTTTATTTTATTCTATGCAAGTGTGCAAAAATTGAACAAGGAGATCTTGAAAAAGACAACAACCCAACGGCAGCATCCCATTCCCAGTATCCCAAGAGCACGCGCTGCCCCTTTTCCACACTGACTTTCCCCAAAGTAGGTGCCTCGGAGTAAGGCCACTGAATATACTGTGATTTCCTTCTGAGGAGGCATGGAGCCCACGACCCAAAGGGGGCATTTCAAACTTAACTTTTTAGATAATAGGGGAGGAGAGTTTGAAGCAGTACCGCATTTGCTCTTGACTTCACTAGGCAAGTTGGAAAGCGGAGGGGAGACGAAGCGGCTGTTTTGCTGAAGCTCTGATGGAGGTTTCCTTTCCCACCAGCCCACCAGAGCTATTCCTTCCAGCCCCAGAAGATTCATGCAATCTTTTACACACACACACACACACACACACAGAAAATGCGCAACATATAATGAAGTTGTGTAAGGAGTATTTAAAATCCAATTGTGAGGAGTAAAAATTAATCCCAATAGTGACGATACGGAGGCAAAGTACCAAGCAGGATAGTTTAATTCGTTCTTGCAAGAGCAGGTGCCCACCACACAGGTAGCGCATAGTTTACACACAAAACATGGTCTTTTATCCCCTTTTCCTGGCTTGCAGACCCTTCCTCTTTTCCCCCATTGGCTGGGCTACTAAGAAGGTACAATCTTCTCTGTCTGCCTACATCATACGGCCCCTCGAGATGCTCCCCCTCCCGCTCATGCATCCCATGTTCATGCTAATGAGCCCATTACCTATGAGAGGTGTGTCAGTTACTATTCATGCGCCTATTAAGCATGTGCACTATCTTTTAAAAGTTCAACAAGTCAAAGTGGCCTTGAAAATTCCAACATGAAGCCAGCTTGCTTCTTAAATCTTGTGGGAAGATGAGATAGGAAGAGCCGACCTTTCTTCAGACTCTTTACCACCCGTTCTAAAAGGTAATTAATTGCCTGCTCTCTTCCACTGAAGGTGACAGTTTTACCACGGTCCCCCAATTTTACCCCCTCTGGCATTTTTCCAGACTTTGATGCAAGAAACACTATTACTTGTAGTACAACTATTTACACGATTCTATTCGCAGGCCTTTTGGACTTAAGAGACTTCAATGATCCTCTCCTAGCCCTGTATTTCACCCTTTCTTTGGTTTTCACCTGGTGTTGTGCATGAAGCCCTGGAAGCAACAGTGACTCATGAGGAGACCTTACACTTGACACCCAGTGCCCAAGAGCCGACCCCACAACCCAACGCAGAGACAGCTGAGCCACAACCCAACGCAGAGACAGCTGAGCCAGCTGCTGCGTCTTCCCCTGAGCCCCAGCACGTTGAGCAAACGCCTGAAACTTTATCAGAGACAGAGGGTCATGAGAAAGAGGAAGTCGCAAGTTCTACTCAGAAGGAAGCAGAGCAAATTGCCTCTCCCGCCCCCCCCATGCTGATCTCCCTGAGCCAGAAACAGAAGACACAATAGGTGTCGTGGGTTTCTCAAAAGCCGAAAACAGACGTATTTTACGCAGATATGAACAGCGGCAAAGTTTATTACGTAAGAGGAAGGAAAGGCATGACTTGGGAGAGTGATCCCACGGTGTTGGAATGAGCTACTCAAAGAGGCGCACCTGGTGACTATTCTTGTTGGCACCTTTTTGTTTTCCCAGCAGTTTAATAGTTTAATTTTTCACCTTTGTTTCTATATATTCCATTTTATTCTGTACTGCTGCTAGGCTTCTATGCTGAATCACAGCAATGGCAATTGCAATTCTGGTTTTATTCTTTTAAATTCATGTTTGTGTGTGACTTTGTCTAATTTTAATGTTTGTTTATTGTTCAGGGGGCTTGGCCACTGGAAGGGATAAATAAATAAATAAATATATTAGGGAAAAATGAGAGAGGATTTGGCCTGTTCTTGCCTTACATAATACTTTAATATTCCTCTCGAAATGGGGCCTGTGCGAGTCTTTGCTGATCCTCTGCTGCCCTCGTGTGGTCATTCTGAGCACTGCAGCTTCTTAAAATGAAACCCTTCCATATGCGAATGGTTGGAACCTTTATTCCTTTAGCATCTTCAGTTGCAAGGTTCAGAGCCTTATGTTTTCTTCTGTAATTTCATCTGTCAGTGATCAGCCCTTCCCCATGAAACTTTTACTTGGCTGATTCTTTCCTCGCCCGTTGCTCCCTTCCTGCAAGCTTTTTTGGTACTGCAATGGTTGCCACAACCACCTCTCCTGCATCATCCTATATGCAGATTATATTGCACATTCTGTATCGACCACTTCTAGGTAGGTTTACAGCCAGTAGGACAAACTGCAGCATTTCCCTGCCTTAGAGACCCAGAGAGTGTTGGGCTACAAACCGCATCATCCTGACCATGCTGATGAGATCTGTAGGCCAACACCACCTAGGGAATAAATTTGGGAAAGGAGGGGACCTTGCAAGGTTGTTGCATTGATAAAATAAAATTGGTTTAATTCTGGGACGGTGTAGTGCTAAACATGACCACGTGGTGGCAGCAGAGGATTAGAAATGTGCGTTCTAGCAAAGAAGTCCAACAAGGAGGTGGAAGGACCCTATGAAGGAAAACACAGCTTTTAATGTACAACCACTGAGCAGGATGGGACATTTTCAGTGCTTCCGTTCACAGGGTTGCCATAAGTCGGAGATGACTTGATGGCACACAACAGCAACAACAAGCCTTCCCTAATCTGAGACCTTCCTCTTGACCTACAATTCCAAATAGGTCTCGTTTATACGGCATTTCATTATTTGTGTTTTGTGGTTTTTTATTTTCCGTGAATTGTTGTGCATTTCCCAAAGCTCTTTGGCAATTGGGTAGTCTAGAAATAAATACAGAAAGAAATTATATTAATAACAACTCTCAACATGTCCAGGTGGCCATGTTGGCTGCAGAAATCTGGGGATTTCAGTCCCCAAATCCGAAGGCTGCGGAAAGTTGACCAAGGGGCAAAGCAGGGTGGAAAACTAATGCTAAAGAACATAAGCAAGCCCCATTTGCGTCTGCAGGAAAGTGGGGAGTACGGAAAGATGTTTAGAGCACCATCTTACGTAAGACAGAAAAAGACCTAAAACTCAGGATGTCCCAGGATGTCTAACTGTGTGTCGGACTTTGTTTAGGGGAATGTCAGATGATCGTACCAAAGTGATCCAACTTGGAGGGTTACATGTGACAACCTGCTCTGCTTACTTTTGTGCGTCTGGAGTAATACTGGTTTTCTGAGGAAGACTGGGGGGCCTGTGGATGGTGCCCGTCTCTGAGAGCGCGATTTAAGGTATCTGCAGAAGAAAGTCTTGTTGGAAGGCACTTGGGTGGCGAGAGGGGAGAGGTGGTATTGCAACTGCTTTGGTCACTCTGTTTAATGATTTTTGCTTATTAAAATTTTTGCTTCAATAATAAAATTATTATTATTGCTTATTGAATTTTTTACTTCAGCGTGTTCCAGCAAGTTGAAGTTTAAGGAGGGGGAACGGACGACTGCAGATGAGCATAAAATGAACATAAAATACTGTGACAAGAATTTCCCCATTATGATGGAGAAATTGAAATGGAAGGAATTAAGAGCAGGTAGATACAAAAGGACTTTAGGCCCACAACCATTGGACCATTTTGGTGCATATTAATTAGACTTTAAGAGACTGCAGTACCGAAAGCAACCAGATGAGGGCAGCACAGGATTGCAAAAGGATCTGATGAATTCAAATTTCATGCAGGGGAGCATGGAAGGAAAGGAACATTCATGAAAAATGTACCCTGAGGAGAACTCCTTGTTTAAAACACAAATTGTCTTTATGCTGTTATTGCATTTTTATTACTAGTATGATCCATGCCATTCTGAATGCAAAGGCAGCATAATACCTTTAAAAAAGATTTCTTCTCTTTCTTCTGTGTGTTTAGGCATGTGATTCCTGGGTCCC